GGGAAGGGAAGGGAAGGGAAGGGAAGGGAAGGGAAGGGAAGGGAAGGGAAGGGAAGGCCCCATGACCAAGAGCATCAAGGACCCCCAACTCCAAACACCTTTTGCTTCATTTGCTTTCTGCTCCCTGGAGCTGATCCCAGGTTCTCCACAAAACTTCCTTCAGTACCAACTCTGCTGAGAATCAAAACCTGGCCCTTCAGTTCTCCCACAGCTGCCACAGCTTTGAGGGCTGTAGCTCATCCCAAGCACAGGTTTTCATTTTACAAGACAAAAGTCACCTGAGTCTCAAATTTATTGCCTATTTTTTAGTCTTGCTTTCTATGACAGATGCATTTGCCCAACAAACCTCTAGGCTGAACCTATTAAAACCTACAGTTGGACACAGACAGAAATTTCTACAACTGTGCAGCTTTTGGGCTTGCAAATGCACTGCTTCAATGGCACTGCAGCTGACATTGGTCAGCAACCTGTGTCATCAAGTTCTTGATTTTTTCAAGGTTTCACTCCTTTTTTAAGGAAAAAAAACCCCAACACAAACCAATCCATCACCCACCCTGAGTGACAACTACATTTCATCACAGACTGAAAGCTTTATGCTTCTCCTTTAGCAAATAAATCAGGACACTTCGCCTCTTTTAAAGTTAACATAAAACCTTCCATTCTATTTGCCGCTGAATTTCTACCATTTCTTCTTTCTGCTGCTGCCACAGCAAGGGAACAACCTGCCACTGACCCATCCACGAACTCTTTCATGCCTCCAGATCACCTGCAGGCAGAGCTGAGCTCCAGCAATACAAACTGGGATTTCATGAGGCTCAGCACCATCCTTGGGCTTTCCCTTCAGAAAAGACCCTTCTGGTAATCCAGTTTAAAATGTACTTGGTCACAGGCTGCAGGCATTTGGTTTTATGATGAGCACAGCACATTTTAGCACTACTTTGATATTTTCTTTTGGTGAGGTAGAGGCACATGAAAAGCAGTCTCTTTTCCACCCTTCAAGCAGAGGGTACAAGGAGTTAATCTATAACAGAAAACTGAGAATTCCAAATCCCCACAATGTTAAGGTCACCCTGCTGCAGAATTTGTATTACACACCTCTCTGATGCACCAAATTGTTTTCTAGAAAATTAGGATATCTTCAGTTAAGCCCTATAAAGACCCTGATAAAAAAATTGCAAAGCCCTAACAGACAGTATTGAACAGAACCAGAAATAACAAAGTCTCTGCAGTAATTTCATTTCATTTAAGTGCTGCAGACACTGGTTCTGGGGCACAGCTGGCACTGAAGATGACACAGTTTTGCTCCTCTTCGGGAAGAGCTGAAGAATCTGCCCATGCCCATTCCAGAACAGTGTGGAAGACAGAGAACTTTCACTGTCCCTTCAGGGAATACAGAAGATTGGTGTTGACTTACTTCCAATTATATCGTTGTGGCATCAAGTAACACAGCTCAAACAACCCTGCAATATCACTCACAACACAAAGACATTCAACTGACTCAAAAATGCAGACAATTTAATAAAAAACTTTAAAACCAAGTGACCAATATCACAACATGAGGTGAAAAGTCTGAATAGAAATACCCCAAGAACTAAGCCTATTTTGCCAACTTTAAAAAAACAAACAAACTATATTCATTGACTACCAGATAGTGAGGAAAATTCTAAACTTGTTTTCTTTTCCTACTGCTGTGCTTATGTTGTACAATGCATGAATTGGTAGGAACAGGTTAAGTCACTATGACAAAAATTCCTCCCCTTGAAAAGACAAGAATGAGGGGAAAAAAAAAAGAAGTTTTGGGGCAAAAGTTATCGAGGCATCTTTATAAATATTTACAGAGGCAGCACTTTTTAAAAGTTTCTTAGGAGGTTATTCCAGCTTTCATCATTCTAAATTTCTCATTCAGAACATGGGAGACTCCTAGAATCTTAATATTGAATAAAGATAATCTTGTACCAAAAGTTTAAAACTTCTCTGGGAGCAGACTAGTATGGATTGATGATTTTCCTCTGAAACACTGTAAGTCAATGTTCTACAAGCACTGGGAATAAATTTTCCATCCAAATAAAGTTTTTTGCACATCCTCCCAATAATTGTAAGAGCAATCCCCCCTTTATTTGTGCACCCCTCTGACAGGGACAAACTGCAGAGAGCAGAGGGTGAAGTGACACAAACTCAGGCAGTGTGGCACTAATAACAACATAGGAATATGGAAAGGAAAAAATATACAAACCCTGGATATTACAGACCAGGAACAAGGGGTTCAAAAGAAACCAAACAAGATTATGGACAACAGAGAACAAAATATGACAATCACAGTAAAATAAAAAGTGGTCCAAATGAAAGAGCACTTCTCAGAATATAAAATACTAATGGTGACTGTAAACCAGATCATAAATATTACTAACTCAGATCCTTTTGTTCTACAAAAATAAAACTCTACACTTGATTTCAAGAGCTGGAAAAGAAAAAGGAGAAAGCCCCTTAATTAGCACTTCAGTGTACACAACAAAATAAACAGTCCAACAAGAGAAGTTGTTTAAACTGTCAAAGCACTTCAAGAACACAGAGGGGAGAAAGCGGGAGTGAGGAGAAAGGATGAGAGATGGACCATCTCTGTCTTACAGAATGAGGAAAAAACACATGCAGAAGAAACTGCTAACTGCTGGGAAGTCATGCACCGGATAATGTGTATTTGCAACGCTCATGACCTACATCAGCATGTGATCAACATCAACAGCGATGATAATCATCAGAAACCTCTTTCTTCTACATTCCCCATTGGAAGTGTTGAAGCTTCAAAAACAAGCAATGCAAAAGAGAAGAAAAACCACTATCCCTTCAACTTTTATCAGAAATGACACAGTTGTTATGAACTACTCAGAATAAGGCGGGAGGTGAGGATACACATAAATGACCCCAGCAGAAACTTTCCGCCAGGCTCAGCAGTAAAGCCAGGGTGCCGAGCACAGGAGGAGGCACAGCGGTGTTTCCCT